GAGGCTGCTGGTGTGACGGACGTGGCTTCCCAGGGATAAGTTTTCACCCAGAGAACAGCCCAAGTCTTTTTGCCATTAACAGTAAATCTGATGAGCGTTACATAGGCGTGTGCAGCATCTGGCTGCACTCCTGGAAGGTTACTGAAGTTAGTCCCTTTATTGTCTTCAGAAAGTAGCTGCTGAATGACCCACTACAGAAGTACCTCTGAAAGGGCTCTAATGAGTTGGTCAGTCCAGACTCACATGGATTTCCATCTCCAAGGTCCATGAACTCCCATAATAATTTGTGAGCCATTATCCACTTCCTTTCTTCATCAAGTGATTCCTCTGCCATAGCCTTGCTTTGCGCCATGTCCTCCACATAAAGGGCTCAAATCATCGCCACAAGCTGGGGAAGAAAAAATATCCTTGCCTGTACAGTTGCTGTATTTTTACTATTATGATGTTAGCAGATGAGATCCAAGTATTTGTTCAGCCAGAAAAATTACAAGTGGATTATAAATACAGCTGAGGAAATGCAGTTGTGATGCAGTTTATGCAGTAGGACACTTCCTTCCTCCTAAGCTTTACTTCACTAGTCATTCCCTACTAACTACTCTGATGGTTTCCAAATGCCATTTTCATTCTCAGTTTTTCTTATTCCACATTAAATAACTTAAATTTCCTCTTTTTTTTTTTTTTCTCTCTGTAGTTTTGATATTTGATGTCCTCTCTTTGGCGTCTTTCACTTTTCCAACCTTTTTTTCTTTCCTCTATTTCTACTTCCATTCTTTTCAAAACGCTACTGCTGTGTGCTCCCTTGCCTGTGATACCTGACTATTCTCCAGCAGCCCCTCTGTTGCCAGATGCTTTTTACATTTGAAACTCCAAATTAAGTTCCTGTAACACTAGAGTACATCTCCACTGCAGCATTAGCAACGTGCATTAGCTGGTGAAATTCTGCATACATTAGCTTTACTGTTTCACTTCTGTGTTAATTCTGTGACAGGACTGGAACCAGACATGGTATACAAACACCCCAAGATTTACCTGGTGCTTTGAGAGTACGGTCATTGCTTGGATCCCTTGTGCCTATCTTTGGATCTGTTTTCCTTTCTACTGCTTGTATCTTCGACACCAAAACAAAGGCTACATCAGGATGTCCCACATCTTCAAAACCAAAATGGTAAGAGCAGAGGATGGGGTTTGATGCTAACACTGTGACAACTTTGATGTAGAACTTAAATTTCTCTAAATCATTTAAGTCTTCTCTGACAATCCATCTCTGTATTTACTTTGACATTTACTCAGGTAAAATCAGGCGAGTATAAATCAAGTAAAGTTTTAGGAAGAACTGTCACAAGCCCAGGCTGCTTGGAGCCTTCAGTTCAGCAGATCATCCATTTCAGTCCATTCCAACATGTGTTTGCTGTCTCTGCCATAGGTCCTTGGATTCATCCTGGTAATACTGTGTTTTTCTGAAGTCTTCTTTGTACTGTGGGAAGTAAGCCAAGGAATCCCACGGGCTCCAGCATTCTTCATTAGTCCTGCTGTGGTGGGAATCACAATGGTAATTCTTCCTTTGTTTTGCCTTGTGTGTGGCCCCGTTCAGCCCTGCCGGGATAAATACTGTATTTCCCATGTTTCTCATTATCTTGGACCACAAAGAGAGCTCATGGAGAGTAGAGGGCTGGAGTCAGTCTTTGTGAGTTTCAGGAGGGGTTTGGAGTTGGGGCAGACCACAGTGTCTACAGCTACAATATAGAGCCCTGTGGGCAAAACACACCTCAAAAGAGCTGAAGTAGTAGTTGTGTTTAGAAATGGGTCTCACAACAAGATCCAGTTTCTCATACTCATGGTGTGCAATTTAGTATGATTTAGAATGAAAGGGGGTTCCTCTTCAACCTAGATGTCTGTCCTCTCCTTCTGCCATTGTGTCTTCATAGCCTGGATCCTCCCAGCCTGTTGTTCCACCTGTACTTACTTATTTTCCCTTTCTGGAGAGACACTCTTGAGTGCAAAATTGCACATAATGGTTTTCAATTTTAGCCTTTTAGGCAGAATATTGCAGCTCCTATAATTTTGAAATGTTTGGGCAAGAAACAAACTTGTTTTTTCTCTCTTGTATCCATGAATTTGATAATCATGTTTGGCATTCCATTACCAGCTATTTATTTGGACAAAACTGTACCTCCTTGCAGATCCTTGCCGTGTACCTTACCCAGGTGGAAAGAATGAGAGGCATCCAGTCTTCAGGCATCCTGTTGATTTACTGGCTGCTTTCATTTTTGGCTGCATTTGTGATGTTTAGTTCCAAAGTCCAACATGCCCTGGACAGAGTAAGTGAAATCATGGGTCTCTTTATCGTGCAGGGGTATGAAGTCCCTAAACAACAGGGTTCTTTTTGTCTCATTGATTGTGAGGTGGACAACCAATTTCCTCTCAAGATACATGCTGAGAAAAATCATTGTTGACACACTGTCATCTTCATCCATGTTACCCTTTCAATGGAGACAAGGTGGTTTTTTAAGAGCTCAGCAGACTTCATATATCAATAAAAGCAAAAGGAACATAATTGCTGTCATTAAAAACTGGCCTCATGCCAGATTTTGTATCAGCATAAATATATTTTTTTAATCTGAATATTTGTGCTGAATGCTTATTTGTGGAGAAGTGCTGGCTGGGTTTACACATTTGAGACTCACTGTCAGTGGCCATTTTCCTCAGGCAAACAGTTGGACCTTTCCATCATAACAAGGAATTAAGAAAAAAAGGTTATGACCTATGTGTTTAAGTAACGGGGAAAATACGTGGCCACTACACAAAAGACAATTGGGAACTTGCTTATCCCTCCTATGTTGAATGATAATCAAGCACTAGGACACTAAGCCACTTTTTGCTACCAAAATACAGTTCCCTTGGTTTTTCTTTCTTATCCACAAAATTAGAGAGCCCTTCACGGAACCCCTTAGACACTACATTTATATTGGCAGCTGCTTTTTTACATTATCAACAGATCGCATAGATAAGCAAGGACCTTCTATCCCTCAAAGCACCCACAGTTCCCTGAGTAATGATATAATGTGGACATCTGACTTGACTAGAAGGCTGTGAAGTCTCACAATAAAACTACCACTATAAATTTAAAATGTGGCTCTTAATTTAGTATTTTCTGATATTCCAGTTACAGGAGTTACTAGTTAAGTAGCTCTACACAACTGTAATTTAAACAAATGCACCTCATGCAAAACTCAGAGCTTATGGCTGGTAGAACATGAGAAGCTGTCTTTCTCAGCTGATTTCATGTGATGGTTTTGACTTCATTCTCAACAGTATTCTGTTTTGTAGGGCTTTCTGGAAGACCATTTCCACCATTTTACAACTTACCTTTATGCTAGCCTGGTGCTAGGAGAACTTGTGCTATTTTGCTTAGTTGATCACCCTCCCTTCTTCTCTAAAGCTGTCAACAATCCTGTAAGTATAACATGTTTTTCATAATGCAGTGCTCAAACAGGAATTTAAATTCATGGGGATAGAGAGGAACATGAGTATCTGGGAGATGTAAGATGCATGATTCTGTATAAAAGCTGATACATCATTCTCTATAAAGGGCAACTGGCAGAATTTGAGATAACCATACTCTGTCTATGTATGTTTTGAAAAGCTAAAGCCTCTTTTATCCATACCCCTGTTTTCTTTTTCATTGAAACCAGTGGATAGAGCTCCTGTGGCTTTCCCATGCTGTTCTGTGCAGCAGTGCTCTATTTGAGCTAGGAGTATGGCAGCTTGGTGCTTCAGAAAATAAATACCTTTGGGTATGAAGAATGATATTCTTTGTTCCTCCACCTAAGACATTATTCAAAGTCTAATTCTACAAAATCTCCTGATCCCATTGATCCTCCACAATACATTTACACTTTCAGGGACAATGAATGGGGGGGGTGTAACACTTTGATTGCTTTTTCTGTGGACGCACAGAAGGGGATTATATTCATCTGACACATGCCCTTTTCTATATATAAATATCACCTGTGTTTTTCCTCCCATCAGAATCAGTGTCCAGAAGCCAGCACCTCTTTTCTTTCCAAAATCACATATTGGTGGTTCTCTGGGTAAGAAAACACAGAAAAAGACTTGGTTTTGCCAGAATAACAGAAAAAAAACCCAGCAGTATAAGAAAG